GTGTGTATGTGTGTGTGTCTGTGTGCGTGTACCTGAATGCGTACGTGTGTGTGTGAGTATCTATCTCAGCAACCTCAATTGGGACGATAAAATAAATTTCTATTTTTTTTCGTCTTTTTCTACTTTTCATTGAAGCAGGACATCCGATTCTTCTCAGTGAAAAAGAAATATGGAAATTTGATTTTGTTGCTAAATAATAAATCTATTCATTTACTTTCATTTCTTGCAAAGAAAAAAAAATACTCACCACATCCCTGCAAAATAAATAAATAAAAGGTCCACATTAAACTTTAAAATACGACGCGTGAAACCTAATTTGAAGATTGAATGTGACCACCACCATCACCAGCAAACGGATTAGGTATTCATTTTGTTCAATATAAAAACAACAAAAATAGGCAATGACTTTCACGAAGCCACAAACAGAAGCACACATTTTTAGATTCAAAGCAAAAAGATTTTCTCTGCATTTATAATCACAGAAACGTAGATGTTTTGATATACAAAAAAAAAAAAAAAAAAAATAACCATAGCTTCAGAGTTTAAAAATAAAACAGTCTACTTCAAAGATATTATTTAGAATTCGTGTGATTTCATTCGGAGCACATTGAAAATGCCAGTTTTTAACCAAAGTGCGAAATTAATGGTAGTTAGCTGGTTCCCTGCACCCCCCCAAACCAAAAAACAAGCACCCTCCCACAAAAAAAAACAAAACAAAAATCAAACAAAAATACAAAAAAAAACCCCCAAAAAACAACAGTCGGCATTTCTTGACCGAGCAGCCAATGCTACTTTCGCTAGTAATTTAAAAAAAAAAAAAATCAGCAAATTTGCAGTTTAAGCCTCCCACACAAATTGTAATTAAAAATTCCTTAAATTTTCCATTTCGGATTAAATTTACATGCCTATTTAGAAAAATAACAGTAAAAGTTTGCGGAAATCTGCCATTTTGCAGTTATCAACAATAAAGTTTCGAACTTATTCGCGTCGGGTCCGTCCGCTATTACTGGTGTTTTACATACGTTTGACTCGAGTAACCATGCGCGGAAGCTTACTTAGTTAACGGCCTTTTTACTGATCTTCCTATTTTTTTTACCCGTCTTAATTATTGCGCAAAGCCAAAAGAAGTCTTTAGAAACTTTTGAAAGTGAAGTTTTTATTGATTTTTTTTTAATTTGCTTAAGTTATTTAGAAAAGCAATAAGTGTTGTTTTTATAGTGAAGCAGTATTAATAATGAATTCTTGCTTAAATACTAAAACAAATTTAAACAATAATGAATTCTTATTTCAAGTTTAAAACTCCAAATTTAATAATAAAAAATATTTGAACCTTAAAATTATTCTTGTTATTATTTCCTTTCTCGCATTTTCTTATATTTTGTAAATAATTATGCTTTTTTAAAATTTCGCGCAAATTTTGCACATTTCGTGCGTAATAATCAAGACAAGTGAAACTTCCGCGCATGATTACTCGATGCAGACGTATATAAACAAAGCCGGTAATTAAAGGTTACATTCGTTCTCTTACAGACATGTCGTCGCGCGTCCTGGGTATGACGATAAACTACGTCCAACAGCAAGGCTTCAGATAATGTTTTCGGAAAAATAATGTTTCCAGCTATACGTTTTTTAAAAAAATAATGTTGCCAGCTATACGTTTTTAAAAAAATAATGTTGCGAGCTATACGTTTAATATATATATATATATATATATATATATATATATATATATATATATATATATATATATATATATATATATATATATATATATATATATATATATATATATATATGTGTATGTATGACCTACAGTGGTTGATATGCCATAAAACTCAACCAACCAACTATGCCGTCGCCTCCCTCTGTCTTTTCTACAAATACTTTCACAGTAACTGCTCCGTCGACCTATTTTCGCGAGTTCCCAAAAACTGCATGGAATTAAACTAGGTTGGCATCTCAGTTCGACCCTTTCACTGTCGAAACGGTTAAATGTAGCCGTCTCTTCTACTCCAATAGCTTCCTGTCGCACACTTCCCATCTGTGAAACTCCCTTCCTCTTACTTGATTCCCTGATAGCTATAATCTCCAACTATTCAAATGCAATGTCACTCGACATCTCCAGATGCCTTAATCTATTCCCCGTCCTTCTGTTCAACCTTTCCTCATTCACGCCAATTGACTCTTGATCCCACTTTCTTTAACCCTTTCTGTGCTAGTGGCACTCCCGCCTTGTTTGGGGTGAAAAATTAAAAAAATATATATATATGTATATATAGATTCTATCAAATGCCCCTGATCATAAACAACATATATAGACAGTTACATCCCTTGATTTTCATTTTATTGCATTAGTACAAACCCTATGCCTCAAGACGTGGAGAGAGAAACAGTTAAAAACGCTTTGAAAAGCTAAGAACAAAAAGGAAAGCAACAAATTATTTTTCTAAGACAAAAAACACTGAAAATCCAATTGTAAGTAACAAAGTTTTAATACTTCTCTGTAAAAATTAATATGTTATAAATAAATATCACTACATTAAATATTAGGTGTCTTTTTTCCCAATCCTCATTTTAGTCTATACAATAAGTTTTTGTACAGAATTTTCTAACAAAATGTTTTTTTTATCTATTTATCTATCTATCTATCTATCTATCTATCTATCTATCTATCTATCTATGTCCATCTCTGTCTGTATCTAAATCTGTTTATATATCAATCTACCTCAGTATTTTCATATCTATCTCACTGTACACTATTTAAATTATTCGGACTATTGTCCTCATCTTTGTCGCCATATTTATTACAACGTTTTGACCGTTGTACGCTCCGGCCTTCTTCAGGTGGTTGGAATGTCGAACTGAACCCTTTATTTGACTCACTGGGGTAGACTGTTCTAGTTCCACGTGCCATGTTTAATGGATGTCAGTTATCAGTTATCTACCTTGAGGACACATGGCATAGTGGATAAAGGCGTTAGTTAGAACCAGTGACAGGACCCAAAGACTGTGAGTTCAATACTCGGTTAAGGTAGTGGAGAACTTTCAGAGGAGAATTAACAGGCGATAACTATCTATCTATATATGCAAACAATTATGCCTAAACAAATAATTGCGTGCTTTGTCTGACTGCATAAGCTAACCATCAGTTTATTTCATCTTTGGTATATATTTTTGTCATCTATCCATATCTATATCTATCTATCTATCTATCTATCTATCTATGCAGCATTTTTTCATTCATACATGTGTCATTAAATAATATAGACAAGTGTTGTCTATTTATTTTATGTAAATTCTTTTCATAACGTCTGATAAGTTTAATAACATTAAACGAAGAAAGAAAATCACAATATTGATCCATATTTTTTAATCCAATCTAAGCTTTCGGCTTACATAAGCCATTATCAAAGATGTTAATTACTGTACAATATATTAAGCAATATACGGACAAAATGTGATGATAGTCTGTTTCTGTTTACATGGATGATTTCCAAGCAACGATAAACACGTGCATATAAGACGCTAGAAGCCAAAATCGCACCGCAGCTCATGACGTAACACATTCGAGAAGTATGGGAAGATCTTGGTATAAACCAGTGGCTTCTGTTACCAATTATAGACATTTAAGGATATTTGTAGAGATTTCATATTTGATTTTGTTCAGGTTAGGTTTCAACTGTTTTATGTATATAGCTTCAAGGATTTTTAGTTTTTGTTTATTGTTTTCATGTTTAAGTATTATTTTGTTTGCGACAAGGGTTTTACGGAATTGTGTGTGTGGCCAGGCATGTTGCTTTAAATGCCTAAAAATGTTAGAATTATCATTCAAATGTAGTGTCAAGTGTCGTGAAAGCGAGTTTGTGGTGTGACAAACATAAATATTATTTAATTCGTTGGAGATACAATCTTCCAAAGAGCACTTGAATTTATAAAATATGTTGTTTTTTTACAAATCGCTAACCGGGGGAAAAGTATCATTGCGAAGAATTAAGTTGGATATACTAGATTTAGTGTATATATATATATATATATATATATATATATGGATAAATAGTTATAACTCGATTGTTGATAATTTGCTATGTTTATGGAAAAGTATTCCGTATCGTGTATTAAGCGTTTGTAGATATAATCAAAATGTGATGATAACTTAAAGCAGTACTTCGAATCTTTTTTTTTTACTTATGGAGCAATTTTACTCCTATTTTATTTGGTTCGTCCCAATTCATAACTGTTCGATGAAGCAGCTTATTGTATTTGTTACTAATAGATAAAGTTAGAATCTTTTTTTTATATAATTTTCTTATATATATATATATATATATATATATATATATATATATAATCCATCCTTTATATATCCTTAGTTTTTGTTCAGATTTGACAACCAAAACACCCGGTAGAGTAAAAGAGAAGCCGACTCACATCGTTTGATCTCGTTTTCGGCAGGTTTTAAAGTTGGTTTTCTATTTCTAGTATTTTAATATGGCGTAGATTCCTGTAAAAATACCAATATTCGGTTGTAACAAACGTCCTGAAGTGAAATTGCTCTATCTGGCCACTAAAATATTACCACGGATCTCCAATATGGTATTTTTTGTGTGGTCGCCATTGTAAGGTCTATACATTCATTGATCCCATCTATTATCTATATAGAACCACTCAGCTTCATATGTATCCTTTGCTATACATATAAAAGAGACATTGGAGAAAGGGCCTTATAATTTGAATCAACACATTATTGTTGTTTCATACTATCTTAATACCATCTATCTATATAGGCCACTATTAACTATCTATCTTCCCTAGATCTTTTGTTTAAAGCCAACAGGAAAACAAGGATAGACCACTTTTGTGCCCAAATCTTATATATATTTAAAGTTGTCGATCTGACTCTATTTTTCCTCTTTCTTTATATTTGTAATACTTTGTTATCTATCTATCTATCTATCTATCTATCTATCTATCTATCTCTGCCCATATCTATCTCATCTTAACTCAGTAAACTCTCACTCTCTACCTCTCTCTCTCTATATATATATATATATATATATATATATATATATATATATATGTATATGTGTGTGTATGTGTTAACTATACATATAAAGGCAAAGGTATCGATATTGGAGAAAGGGCCTTAAGAAAGTGAGGTCATATGAATCAACACATTATTGTTACTCTCAGTTTCATACTTCAAGCGATCTTAATACCTTGAACGAACTCTCTATATAGGCCACTGGCGAAATTAACGTAAGTGGAGGAAACCATCTTCCCTAGATCTTTTGTTTAAAGCCAACAGGAAAACAAGGATAGACCACTTTTGTACTTAAATACTCCCACCCCGTTAAAGTAGATATATATTTAAAGTTGTCGATCTGACTCTCACTTTTCCCTCTTTCTTTATATTTGGTATATATTTTGTTATCTATCTATCTATCTATCTATCTATCTATCTATCTATCTATCTATCTATCTATCTATGTCAGTCTGCTCCCATCTATCTATCTATCTATTTATATCAGTCTGCTCCCATCTATCTATCTATCTATCTATCTATCTATCTATCTCTATTTTTATCAATTTCAATCTGTTCCTAACTATTGTTATCTTCTTTCTTTGTTTCTATCTATCTATCTATCTATCTATCTATCTATCTATCTATCTATCTATCTATCTATCTTTTTAACTATCTCAGTCTGTTCCTATCTATTGTTATCTGGTTTCTTTCTTTCTTTCTTTCTTTCTTTCTTTCTTTCTTTCTTTCTTTCTTTCTTTCTGTCATCTATTTATCTATTTATCTATGCAAACAATTATATCGAAACAAATAATTTACACTATGAATATTGACGACAGAATGTTTCCCACTATTCACAACTCCCTTAAGCCTACTTAAAAAATGAGGCAAATTTTGCAAAATATTAACCTTGTAATCTTTGTCATATTTTCACTCGTTTCCCAATTGTCGTCGCAAATCCGTAGATTCTTTGTCGTCTGCTTTTCCAGACGAATCGCAGCTGACAACGGTTGCTATGTCAACAGAGAATGGCATTGGTCCTTTTTTTTCTATTCAAAATTAATTACTGAATTTCTGTTCTGTGAACCAAAGCGAGTGTCACTCAGTTCTACTTTCTTTTGCGCAAATAGAATAAGATTGCCAAAAGCGATGACTTATTAGTTCTTTTCCGACATTTTCGTTTCACCTATATATAAATATATATTGTCATCCACAGACAGACTGTTTCGCTGTATCACAGCTCTTCAGTGTGGCTACGCGTCCGGTTGACTCTAGCTAGGATCGAAACCCGACTGATTCTACCAGTAAGCCGTCGGCGCACGGCAGGGACGAAGGTGAATTTTATCGTATTTATTTTTATATAAACACACAGTGATCGAGAGGACTCGATTCGGTTTACCGAAGAGTCTTGATATAAATATATATATATATATATATATATATATATATATATATATATATATATATATATGTGTGTGTGTGTGTGTGTGTGTGTGTGTGTGTTTGTGTTGTGTGTGTGTGAATAAATATATGTGTGTGTAAATATATATATATATATTTATATTTATATTCACAAACACAACACACACATATATATATATATATATATATATATGTGTGTGTGTGTGTGTGTGTGTGTGTGTGTGTGATATAAATATAAATATATATATATATATATATATAAATATATAATTATTTTTATAAAAAAATTTATAACATAAGTATGTTATAAAATCACTACAAAAATAGCCATTTTGTTTCAACACACTCTGTGTCTTATCAAGTGATGGTGTTGAAAAGAAATAAATATATAAATATATATATATATATATTATATGCGCGGTACTTATTAGAAAGCGCTCAATATCAGAGATAGAGCTAACATATTTGGTTGGACTGATATGAGTTTGTGACCCTGGGACTGACGATCGCAAAAGCTTAAAAACCTAGGGTCACAAACTCACATCAATCCAACAATATATATATGTATATTATATATATATATATATATATATATATATATATATATATATATATATATATAAGAAAAGAGATAATATATATGGCGTAATGGTCAGTAAGCATGTCTCGCTAGTTCAATTGTGACTGAGTCACATGTAAGCAAAGATGCGTACATCTCTCTCTCTAGCTATATATATATATATATACATATATATATATATATATATCCAAGTATATGATTGGTGTATACGGAATGAATTCAATAACAATTACTATTCTTAAAAGAGTGCTCAATACAAAGTAGAGCAGATATAATTATTTATTTGAAAAAAATTTTAACATAAATATGTTATAAAATCACTACAAAAATAGCCATTTTGTTTCAACACCGCCGGTGTCTTATCACGTGATGATGTTTTTCTATTCAACATCATCACTTGATAAGACACTGGGGTGTTGAAACAAAATGGCTATTTTTGTTGTGATTTCATAATATATTTATTTAAAATTTTTTTTTT